TCTGGGGGACCCGCCCCTGGTGTGGGCTGTGAGGAGACGCTCTGGGGACCCGCCCCTGGTGTGGGAGAATATTCTGTGGGGGACCCGCCCGTGGTGTGGGTTGTGAGGAGATGCTCTCGGGACCCACCCCTAGTGTGGGCTATGAGGAGATGCTCTGGGGACCCGCCCCTGGTGTGTAAGAATATTCTCTGGGGGACCCACCCCTGGTGTGGGCTGTGGGAGGAAATTCTCTGGGGGACCCTCTCCTCGTGTGGGAGGAGATTCTCTGGGGGACCCGCCCCTGGTGTAAGCTGTGGGAGGAGATGCTCTGGGGGACCCTCTCCTCGTGTGGAAGGACATTCTCTGGGGGACCCGCCCCTGGTGTGGAAGGAGATTCTCTGGGGGATCCACCCCTGGTATGGAAGGAGATGCTCTGGGGGCTCCGTCCCTGGTGTGGGCTGTGTGAGGAGATGCTGTGGGGGACCCGACCCTGGTGTGGGCTGTGGGAGAAGATGCTCTGGGGGACCCATCCCTGGTGTGGGCTGTGAGGAGATGCTCTGGGGACCCGCCCCTGGTGTGGAAGAACATTCTCTGTGGGACACGCCCCTGGTGTGGGCTGTGAGGAGATGCTCTGGGGGGCCCGCCCCTGGTGTGGACTGTGAGGAGATGCTCTGGGGGACCCGCCCATGGTGTGGACTGTGAGGAGATGCTCTGGGGGACCCACCCCTGGTGTGGACTGTGAGGAGATGCTCTGGGGGACCCGCCCCTGGTGTGGGCTGTGGGAGGTGATTCTCTGGGGGACCCGCCCCTGGTGTGGGCTGTGGGAGGAGATTCTGTGGGGGACGCGCCCCTGGTGTGGGCTGTGAGGAGATGCTCTGGGGGACCCGCCCCTGGTGTGGAAGGAGATTCTCTGGGGGACCCGCCCCTGGTGTGGGAGGAGATTCTCTGGCGGACCCGCCCCTGGTGTGGGAGGAGATTCTCTGGGGGACTCGCCCCTGGTGTGGGCTGTGAGGAGATGCTCTGGGGACCCACTCCTGGTGTGGGCTGTGAGGAGATGCTCTGGGGGACCCGCCCCTGGTGTGGGAGGAGATTCTCTGGGGTACCCGCCCCTGGTGTGGGCTGTGAGGAGATGCTCTGGGGACCCACTCCTGGTGTGGGCTGTGAGGAGATTCTCTGGGGGACGCGCCCCTGGTGTGGGCTGTGAGGAGATGATCTGGGGACCCGCCCCTGGTGTGGGCTGTGAGGAGATGCTCTGGGGGACCCGCTCCAGGTGTGGGCTGTGGGAGGTGATTCTCTGGGGGACCCGACCCTGGTGTGGGAGGAGATTCTCTGGGGGACCCGCCCCTGGTGTGGGCTGTGAGGAGATGCTCTGGGGACCCACTCCTGGTGTGGGCTGTGAGGAGATGCTCTGGGGACCCGCCCCTGGTGTGTAAGAATATTCTGTGGGGGACCCGCCCCTGGTGTGGGCTGTGAGGAGATGCTCTGGGGACCCGCCCCTGGTGTGGGCTTTGAGGAGATGCTCTGGGGGACCCGCCCCAGGTGTGGGCTGTGGGAGGTGATTCTCTGGGGGACCCGCTCCTGGTGTGAGCTGTGGGAGGAGATGCTCTGGGGGACCCACCCGTGGTGTGGGCTGTGAGGAGATGCTCTGGGGGACCCGCCCCTGGTGTGGGCTGTGAGGAGATGCTCTGGGGACCCGCCCCTGGTGTGGAAGGAGATTCTCTGGGGGACCCGCCCCTGGTGTGGGCTGTGAGGAGATGCTCTGGGGACCCGCCCCTGGTGTGGGAGGAGATTCTCTGGGGGACCCGCCCCTGGTGTGGGCTGGGAGGAGATGCTCTGGGGACCCGCCCCTGGTGTGGAAGGAGATTCTCT